TATTTTTCTTTTCATAAAATGTGTTGAATTCAATAATAAATTACTTCAGCATAAAAGTTTCATTCGTTTAGTATTTGAGCGAGATTGAATTCACACACATTAGAATTCTACTAACAGCTTATATATATTCTAATAGTTTATATATATATATATATATTATACTAATAGTTTATATATATTTTTATATTATTATACTAACAACTCATATATATTTTTTATATTAACAATTTATATACATATATTATACTAATAATTTTATATATATATATACTTATATATTATTGCCAGTTTATATATACATATAAATTATACTAGCAGTTTATATATATTTATATATTATTAACAATTTATATATATATTATACGAACAGTTTATATATATATTACACTAACAGTTTATATATATATCATTGCACTAACAATTATTATATATATAAGTACACTAAGAGTTTATATAGATGTATATATTTTTATACTAACAGTTTATATATATATATATATTAATTCACTAACAGTTTACATATATGTATATAATTTTATTCAAACAGTTTATATATACGTATATAATTTTATACTAACAGTTTATATACATGTATATAATTTTATATTAACAATTTATATATATTATTACACTAACAGTTTATATATATTATTATCCTAACAGCTTGTATATATGTATATACATTTATGTTTTTTAAATTATAGTTAATTTTATATTTGTAAATATATATGTATATTTTATACAAATTATGATTTCGTAGTTTTATTACTTAAAATTTATTAACGTAGCAAATTACTAAAGTAACCCAGGTTGATGAGTATTGCATTAATTAAACTACATTAAAGAATTAAGAGAAACTTATAAAGGAATAATATTTTTTTTTATAAGTACAAGATTAAAACTAACCCAAATGAGAGTCATTTTCTACTAATTATGAATGGATAGTTTATTTTATATTGTTTGGATAGGTACCAAAAGGTAACATATAAGTGACGCAAAATATTAAGTATTTTAAGTACATTTGAGTGAACATTAGATATGCTAACATTCTACCCAAAATAAAAACTATAGTGATATCAATAGTGCATCGTTTATAAATTTTATATTATAAATATACTTGAGGCCTTAGTGTAAGTATTGTTCTATTTTTACAGTTTCTACTTCACTATATTCTCTTGCATCTGGAATAACAACTTTTGATGGATCGAATTTTACAGAGTGGTATGAAAGGGTCTCATTCTTATTGGGTTTATCAAA